TTTTTCTTTATGAAAAAAAAATGCGCAACACCGTTTTTAAAAACAATAAAAAAAAAAAAAATTAACGACAGTTTTTTAATAAAATTTAATGGGCTACAAGACTGCATACTCGAAAAAACCCTAAAAAAAAAAATTTATAAATTTGTAAATTTGTAATGTAATCATTTTGCTCAAGTTCGGTGTAAAATAAAGAAAGTCATCAAATTTCGTATGATTTATTAGTGGTTCAATTTCTCTGATGAATAGCAAAATTTAGAAATCTTGGTTTGTAATAGTTAAAAGTTAGATACAAATTTTCAATCGAAATTTCATGAAAATACATCGGAATATGTTTTTTTTATGTATGTTACCGACTGACTTTGGTACACGTTAACCATTTTCTATAATTCTTATTTTTTTATCGGAAAGGTGGTGCCTCAATCGTAGTCCCATACTAATTTCAATACATCCACACCTGAAAAAAATTTGCGGATATTTTGCTCTTCTTACATTTTTATAAAATTAATAATAAAAGGTATTATCTTTTTAATAGTAACCTGAAAATGCTAATTGGTCTACTGGTCATTCACTTCATACATTTTTCCTAAAGGTTCAAGAAAATTGCATTAAAAATACTATTATTTTGGAGAAACTGCTGTAGGCGCTTAGTTGATTACATAATACATATTAAACTCTTTTGATAAGAGAAAAGCAAAAAAAGAAATATTTGGAAAGCGATCGAAAAAATAAGATAATTAGTAGTTTTGTTTACATATCTGTACATAAAATACCTTCCACTTTTTCTACTTCCCAGAAAATATATTGCGGCATATTCTGAATTTCGTACGAACCGAAAATGTGAAATTTTTGTATAGAAAATGATAGGAAAATCCCATGATTTTCGATTCGTACGAAAACAAGAATACGCTCCATTATAAAAATCCTTGATGTTAAAAATTTATTCGCTTAAGTAAATATACATACATACATAAACACAAAATTAAAAATATGTACATATGTATACAGACAATAAAAGTTGGCTCTTTATTTCCGGGCTGGGACGTGTCCAGTCGTGCCGGGCCGGGCCGGGCCCCACTAAAATTCTCAACGTGCGGGCTCGTGCGTGTTTTTGAAAGTTGATTTTGCACTCGTGACGGGCCGTACGCATCTCTACTACCTACCAACGAGTATCTACCTATAGAACTCATGTTACTCATACGTCATGTCACACCACACCCTAGTCAGACACTCAGACCTTGTTACATACGTATTCATAATTTATTTGTTGCAACGCTTTCTGATTTATCGTTCTTACCATCCGATCAGACATTTTTATTTGCATACCTCTTTTATTTATTATTGTCTACATACATATGAGCCCTTGCCCAAAGCTTCGACACGCATTTGTTTCATTCATTTCAAGTTTACATTGTTGCCACACCCGCTGAATTGGCAAACGTACAAAGATGAACATACACACATATATTTATAAATATATCGATGTTGTGTGCTATTTAATGCGAAACAAAAGTAAATATTGTAGTAATGAACAATAAGGGCAGTGGGGTAAGGAAAGACTGTAAACAATAGCAGTCACAGCGAGCTTCATGTTCATAAGCATATGCCGTTAAAACATACAAACATACGAGTATTACAGACGGCGCACAATGGCACTAGAGTGGTAAAAGGTAGTAAAAACAGATTAGCGAATTCTGAAAAACTAATTACGCAGATTCATAGCAAAATGTCCAACTAACACAAGCCAAAAACTACCTAATTTTTCCACTTGCGCGAATGAGACTGATGAGAGGTTTTTTGCTAACATTTTTTTTAAATACAATTTTTAAAATTTTATTTTGGTAAATTTTAAAAATTTTTTATATAATTTTTTTTTAATTTTTAAAATTTTTTAAATTAAATTTCTTAAGATTTTAAATTTTTTAAAATTTAAATTGCTTTAAGTTTGTATATATTTATCTAGTGAAATTTATAAAATAAGTAAGTCTGTCAACTTTATCCAAAATTCATAAAATTTAGTACGTGGAGCCAAAAATGTTTTGCAGAAGGTGGGCGTCATGGTAAGTAGCTTCCCATCATCTTCCAAATTGGAAAATTTTGTCGTAAACGGGCAGGATTTTCATAAAAAAATACTTTTTTTAATTTGCGCCTATTTTTCTAGAATTAGTGGACGATAATGTAAACCAATTTTGACGTACTTTCAGATTTATGCTTTTCTGGTTAAAATGAATTTCAACAAATTGGGATAAAATTTACCATTTCCGCCCATATGAGCTAGGGGCGTGGCAGCGCGTCGAATGTTATCATAATTTCAACATTTCTTCATTTAAAATTGCCGAATAGCGCACATACCTAAATACCTACGAAATTTCAGCGAATTTGTAGTACGGTAACTAATTTTGACCACAGCTTATATGGCGACGTCCCACAGTGCGGCGGCAACATTGCTTCCAAGCACTCATTGGGGCGATATATTTCCAATTCATCTGTGTGTTGATATTTTTGCAAATATGTTACTTCGACTATCTGTCAGCTCGAGTATTGCAGCGCTTCACACTTGCCTGCTATTGTATTGCCCTCCTTCCTTTTGCTTGATCTGCCACGCTGACTGCTGTTATTGCATTCTTCATTTGCTCCATTGGGGCTTTTGCAAAGCTCACATCTCAATGTTCGTATGTCTTGTTTGTCTTAACTGTTGTTGTTGTTATTGTGGATTGTTTGTTTGCTGCTACAAGTATTGTATGTCATATCATTTGTAATAAATAAAAATTAACATGTGTTGCCGACAATGTCTGCATGCTCCTACGTACATGCAAATGCATAAATACATAAATAAGCATATGTATGATATATAGTATGTGTGTGTGTGTGTGTGTGTGTGAGGATTTGCATAGTAATATCCTGTCGAGTTTTAAAGTTACAAACGGATAGTTAGTGCCTACCTCTGTTTGTAGTCTTTTTGATATGCCCATTTGCTGCAGTCTCAAGCATACATACATACATACATACATACAGTCACACGCTGCTACTCAGTTTAAAGACTTTCCTGCCATGTCCCGTAAGACTATTGTGTATGCCCTTGCAATGCTAGTAATTCAAATAGTTCCAAGTAAATGTGGTATCTTAGTGGGTGAACGGCATACTTATTTCAACATGAGTTCTGCTGTTTATCGGCATTTAAATAAAACATACTTCATGGTGTTCACTTAAACATATCGGTGAAGGCTAAATTTTTGCTGCACGAAACTGAAACCACTACAGCTTTGATGGTTAAAGGTAGAGGCCAGCCATCAACAACGCCTACCTCGCTGCTGCTCTTATATGTAGGTTCAATAAACTTAGAAAATTCTCGTAGTTGTATTATAATGCTGACATGCGTAACCGCTCATTTGCATTGACAAATTCGTCTCGCTACGACATTCTACAAGCGTAGGTGGTACGACTAATGGCTACCGTCATTTGTGGCATATACACCGGTGATGTATGTGTTTTGTGTTTTGAATATTAAATGCAGGCATGTTATATGCAAATAAGTATGTATTTTAAGTGCAAGTAGATAGCTTACCCAGGCGATAAACAAGTTTATTATATGAAAATACTGTAAGTTGAGCGCCAAATTGAAAGTTCAATGACTCCAGCTTGCGTTGATAATGAAAACCATAGCTCAAATCAAGGAAATGTTTGATAAATGAGGGAATGTTTTAGGTTAATGCGGCGCAGTTGCGAAGAAAGTAACTCACTATATTTTCCGCTCCCAAGGAGTCGCATACTAGCCAGCATATGGAACAAGGGTCCGGTGTTATGTCGAGATGAATACGACCCCAGCGAATCCCGCTGATGAAGTCTGATGAGGAAATGTGGTGATTTCCGAAATAGTTATCACTTCTACAATTTTTTCAAATTGTTGTTGCTTTTTGTAGTTTTTCATTAAGAACGGTCTCAAGCTCAATAAAAATTGTTGAATATAAAATAAGATCCTAAAATTAAACGAAATAATTAAAATGTATTCCTTTTTTGAAACAATAAATGTTAAATCCAAAGAAATTTATTTTTAAATAATTGAAAAAACAGAAAAATATTTTTTTTAAATAGAAAAAATTAAATCCGTTTCCAAAAATTTATAGAATAAGAAATGTATATATTTTGAAAAGAATAAAATTAAAAAAAAAAATTAAATAAGGTAAGTTTCCAAAAATTTAAGGAAATTAAAACAATATATATTTTCCTATTTAAGATATTGAAATATCATAATTTAATTTAAGTTAATACAAAAAATAATAACCCGCTGCATGATATTTCGAACTCGAAAGGAACACCCGCTCACTATTGCAGCTCTCACACCCTAAGATTGCTCTATGTCGAAAAAATATACTCTTATTTTTTTATTTTGAAATCAAAAAATATTTAGAGGTCGCTCAAAGCGCTCGAAAGTTTTCCATGTATCTTATGTGGATAGTTGTTTTTAACTATTCCTAGAAATGGTATGGAATTCTTGAAAATCAATATTTTTCGATCGGAAAACTCTGGTTCTTTTCTTTTTCGATTTCAAAAAAAAAAAAAATATTGGTGTTTTTTTTCGGTATAGATCAATCCCCCCAGGTGAGAGCACAATAATTCCGACTGTAATTCTTCTCATGCATTTTTGGACCACCCTTATGTACATACATACAGTGATTGCTCTCAAAATAACTTCTCACTACGAGCAGAGAACGGGAGAGCTTTCTTCATACTAGGTTTAGTGGAGTGATTAAAAATCGAGCTTTGATTGAGATTATATTTATATATGAACATATCTACTTTAAGACTTTTGCACTAGAATAACAAAAGTCTTTGGAACTATTTTGCTATCTGTATTTCATTTGTCTCACGAAAGACTTTTGTGGTATCTTAGTCAGATTTACCCTATTAATTGCATTGTGAATCTTTAAGTGATCTTATCTATGTAACCAATAGTGTCACGAAAGAAAACCAAACTAATTTCAGTATTTTCTTTTGCTTTACAGTTGACGCCCATTGCAGTTCATCATGGTACAGATCACTGCCATAATTAATCAATAACTACACAAATAATGATCCTCAAAGAAAAATAGAAAGTAAGTAATACTTAAGCACATCGTAAATATTCGTCAAATCATATTCGATAGTGAAGGTCAAGTGAAAGATTGATGATAATTTAACGGCTAATAATAAAAAAAAAATAGCCCTAACACGCAACAGCACAAATTAGTTATACAAATTAGTTATAAATAAATTGAAAATAAACAGAAATAAACCAACTGAAGCCAGTGGAAATTAGAGGGGCAGCATAAAACTCTTGGGTTGTAACTAAAGCTAAAACAAGAAACTTAAAATATAAATGACAAAATTAAAAGATAAATCTAAGTATGCAAAACTGACAAAAAAATTTGAAAACAACGGCTGAATGCAGAGTAGTTCAAAAGAGAATACGAAACTCGCCATATTACGTAGAAAATTTAAGAAAATATATTAAAAAAGAGAAAAACTAGAAAAATACTTTCCAAATGGCTGAAAAGCCTAGCGCAGATAAGGCTGTATAAAGCTTTAGAGCATAATTTGTGAGTGACACTACATTTTGAAAGCACTTTAAAGCACTGCCGCTTAACTGAGGAGTGAAAGCTCTGTTAAACACTTTAACTTGAGGTTAAAGCTTTTTACGAAAAGCAGTGAAAAGTAAACGCAAATGCGCGAAAATGGTTCCAATCGACGACGAAGACGAACACAGTCGCCATGACGCAGAAACAAACGTAGCTAAAGTGAGCTCACAAAGGCAAAAGTGCAACTACGCTGCAACTATAAATGGCAGTGACAAACGCAATACCACTTATTTGCATTTTTTACGCAAAACTCGAAGAAAAAGCAATAAGCTCAGCTTTAAAGCAACCACGCCTACGTCAAATGCACGCAAGTGTCAAGCGCTAAGCGCCTACTGGCAAATGCTGCTGATTCCGCAAAGTAAAAGCTTTAATGGTAACAGGCGATTCGATAGCTTTCACAGTATAAAAAGCTTACAAAGCTTGCAAGTTAAAGAAAGCGCACGCGAACAAGCAATAAGCTATAGATGCACTTCAGAAAATCAACTCAGCTCCGTAGGCCAGGAAGATAGTCGTGAAATCAAGCGATATTGTGGTGTCAATTACAGCAAGAGTGAAGTCAGCTTAAGACGTTGTGGCAGTATAGCTTTGGCACCAGCGCCACGTTGTAGGAGTAGTGAAAGTCAAAGCGCCGCAGTTAGGGAATATGAATTGCAGGCGGACTTAAAGCCGTTTAGGTACAGCAAAAGCAGCGGAAACAGCAGAAGCAGATACGCCAGTTGCGACTGGAGCGAAAAGTTCAACAGTTACATAATCAGAAGCAATACTAATGAAACAAATGGCAGCTATCGTAGAAGACCGCAATCAATTGAAAGACTGTGCAAACGCAAAAAAAGACGCTTGCGACGGCGTCGAAAAAGAAAAGCGCACAGAAAGAGACAGCTACATGAAGAAAAAGAAGAGGAAGACGAAGAAGAAGAAGAACGCAATCACAACACAATAGCGACATTTGGCGAGCAACTAGCCGTAGTACATACAACCGCTAAATCCGCAACAGTAGTCGCATTTAATGCACACGAAACTCATAAAAGTGCAATTGTCTCACACGCACAACCAGCAACAACTTGCACACCAACAACCGCAGCAACAACACAGCATGACACGCTTGTCGACGTGTCAACAATAGCAGCAATATCATCACCAATGCCATACACAACAGGAACGCACGCACATAAATTGCCAGCTACCAAAACACTTCCAAAGCACCACGTCGTCGTCGTCGTCGTCGATTGTCATGAACGCAGCAATAGCAGCTGTTGCAATGGCAATACAACTGGTGTGCAACATCACTCAAGAAGTAGCAATAAAATGGCGACAATAAACACATGCACAACAGCTAAATCAGCAATGTCATCAACATCTTATTCACCAACAGCAGCGGCAGCCTTCGACGCTGCATCGCCTGCCATACGACTGTCGGCCTTTTATGCCGCAACTACACTGCGCCTATTTTTAACCACATTGACAACACTGATCGCCAGCACAACACCAACAACATTCACAGCCACAAAATACTCATGGATTTTTCTATGGATATATGTGAATTTAACTGCTAGAGGTGAGTACTGGAAAATATTTGTTTACTTTGATTTTGCATAAGAAAACTAGCAAATACCCGGCGTGCTTCACTGCGCCTTAAACATATTTTTGTGTTGCTAAAAAATAAAGTATGTACATTTGAAAAGCTTTTTGAAGTGATATTTTAAAACTAATTTTCGATTTATGAAACATACTTTGTTTTTTATGAATAAGGGTGTTAGCTAATATGTATATTTTCGAAGGTATTTAGTTCTGGAAATTAAACTTGTAATCTTATAACTCAATTCTACATAAAGTACGCATTCTGAAAAGGAGTATTAATTCAGTATTTACCTTATCTCATCACTTTAACTAAATACAAGTTTTAAATAGGTGGCAATCAGCTACAAAAATATTTTCGACAGTAAATTTATTTAAACCTCATTTGTTTGATACCCGCGTTGTAATATTTATTTAATTTTATCAATTTAAAAATTTGCTAAAAAATTTCAAACAGTTGGCAACACTCATCAAAAATATTTTTGGCAGTAAACTTTATAAAATCTCTTTAGTTTGATACACGTATTGCAATATTTAACTTATCCTATTTATTAAACTAAATTATAATTTTCAAATACGTGGCAACCTACCCTAAAAATATTTTCGACTGTAAGCCTTCTGTAACTTCTTTCTTTTGACGGCCATATTGCAATAGTTATTTTATCTTAGCAATGTACTTAAATTGCAATTTTCATACAGGTGGCAACTCTCTCATTATGATTTTTCTATATTTTAAGTTGGACCTTTAGCAATGCATCGCTGCAATTGCTTTCAAGCATTATTTGTCGAGCTAAGCGCGTACAAACATGAAGACAAACGTACAACGGGCAGACAGACAGACAAAAATTCTAAAAATTGTTGATTTGGCTTCTGTTGCTATAATAAAGACCACCATATTAATTTTTCTTTAATATCTATATATAATATATTTATGGGTGTAAAAAAATAAAAAGGTACCGTGCGGTCCGCCAAAGGACCGTTTTCGGGTGCATCATAACCTTGCACATCAGTGGAATCCGATTCTTACCTTTCACCTTGTGGCAAATATTTGTATGTATGTCACAATGAGCCGCCGTTATGGCTCAGTGTTTAGAGGTGCGTACCACCAATCCGTAGTTCCTCGATCTCCAAGAAACAGTGGTCGCCCCTCTGCAGGAAATGTTTAATATCCGCGTGTATTTCCGTCATGAAAAAACTTCTAGTAAAATCAATTTGCCGGTTTCTTCTTTTCAATGACCAGTTTAGCTTAACAGTAAGTGTGACTCTCAAGACTTGGCTCTGAATAGATAGTGTGCTAATGTGTATCGGTTATGTTGGGTTTTAGTGGTTACTGTAGCGAATTTATAGCGTAACTAAGTTGACCTTTGTGATGTTAATATATTTTTTTACCGATAACTGTTAACCCAAAACCTATATCATCCCCATATATGAGTATGCTTGGGAAGGGTGAGCCGAGATGTTCCGACTTCAGCTACGACAGTGACGATGAGGTCTGATTTTTAGTGTCATCGCATGCATCCCCATCAGACAGTGTCGGGCCAAAAAAGTACACCAAAGTCGAGAATTACAGCCTTATGCACCTAAAACGCTATATTGACGCCTTCTATTTATACTACCTAATTCAGAAAACGTAAAAGATTTTTAGATCAGGCAGAGTATACTACATATGTTCGCTTTTTAGCTACAGGGAACCTAAACACATATGCTTGCAATGGCATCAGAATCAAAAATAGGGAGCAATGGAGTTTCTTTTGCTCAGTTGAATAAGCGCAAGAGGCCATTTTACCAAATTCTTAGCTCGTGCAAATAGCTTCTCAATCTTCTTTGTCCTGAAAATATGCCTCTAATAGTTAGGACATTCTCTTTTGGGAGGTTAATAAGGAGCTTGGATGTTTTCAGGTTAGTCCGCCCAATAAGCTCTTAGCTTGGCAAGGGCTTATTATTTTATGCCACCGACATATTCTTATACCGATTACACTCGATGAACGCACGTAGATTACAAATCTGTTTGCCGGTTTGCTAAATCTGGCCATTTTCCAAAGATATATTCATTTTAAGTTTGCGTTTTTCATTAACTTGAAAATGTCTTAGGAAAATTACCTGATCTGGAGAAATAGTATAGAGATCCATTATCTACGACCCAATATTAAGTTTACGTGTTTCGACGTTGTTGATTTTGTAATTTCAAAACTTGAGATTTTCCCTACAGTGTTACCTAAAGAATGATTCAGGACCTCTGGGAGTTAAAGCTGCCGCCCATCTAACAAAGCTTTTATCTCTAGTGAGCTAGTGGCCATAATAGTTAGATTAGGCTGTGTTTTCAGACACATTTAGCTTTCCAAAGGTCTCCAATATGATCATTTCTACGTTAGATAATCCTTGCATACAGAACAATTACGCAGGCCTACGCCCCATTTGGAGTTTTAGAGCTACATGTTCCCGAAAACAATTACTTTTCTCGTATCAGCTTTGCGGGAAGAGGTCATGTGAAATCTGTGATTCTAGATTTTCCACGCTCCTAGGGGATGAGATCGTTCCATTGGTAAAACATTTTCAAGCAAAGTTTAAGTGAATACGCTTGTCAACCTGGTCTATCGTGCGACGTATGGACTTAATTTCCTGCAGCTATGCCGTCTGGCATTGTCCTATTGGTGCGTACCTGTATCCTTGTGGCTTTGGTAACTCTCGAAACCCAAGCTACCATACCGTTGGTAGTAATGTCTAGGAATCCTATGACTGCACTCTCAAGACTTGTCTGCTAGACGCTTGTACAGAATTACTGCGTTCGTCTCTTTTGAAATTTTCACGTCATTCGCCACGGTAACGACATTTACCACGAGCCCAACCAGAATTTTATATATTTTATAGCTGTTTAGGAGGGGTTAATACTAAAAAAACACCATGGAAGCAGGATCTTGAGGATTTTACTTTCCAAGAGTAACACGCAGGTAGATAAAGTTTATTTCCTCATTGAAACCACCTTTTACTCTTTTAAGACCAGTCATATTAACGTATTTTTGAGAAATATCATAGTGGCTGCGTAGCTCCCGGACTGACGAGCCTCCGACTCGTTTAGACTCCACTGCGCGTGACCCCAGGTCCAGGATTGGCGCTAGGCTTACCGAGTAGATGCTTGTCCCACTTATCAATGTAATGCATTGAATTGCACAGCTGCTTTCGCGAAAGCCAACTTTGCCTAGGGCTCACTATCGCAAAACTATATCCACTTGAGGTACACTGCAAGCTGCATCATCACATGCCTTCACCGACTCCTTCACAGAGCTTATACCTGTTGAACTGATCTTGTTCCACCAACGAGCTAAAACTTGAATAAATGTAAGTAGAGAAAAAGCTAACCTTCATACTTCGAATTAGTTCGCCTAGTCTCTCAGACATCCCGATGGATGAGTAATCGTTCACCAAAGGGGCACCGAAGAGTTGAAAAAGCGTTTGATGACTGACTTGCCCAGCTGATTGTCTAACAAATTTTACTCATTGTGAGTCATTTCTTCTTACTTGCAAATTCATCATTCTACACCACTTGTATTTCAAGCCAACTAATGCAAATGCCATCCATTATAAGTGCAATGTTGCATGGCATTGCATTGTGACGCGTGTCAGTCCATCATCAGACTTGCACATAGATGACTCAAATGCCAAGTCGTTGCGCATTGCCGGCATACGGAAGCCAACTCATAAATGCATTCACATACTTGCGAAAGTTGCGTATAGAACCAAATGGAAAACTTTTTTAATGGTAAGTAAAAATATCAGCTCTTCCTAAGTATGTGGCGCAAAGTCACACATACAAGTATAGCTAAATTGCAAAAGTTGCATTTTGATGCAGTCATGCGCCTAAAAGTTGACACGACCAACGGCAAGTGCGCGCCAACCGACCGAATAGATGCAACCACTTCAGCTTAAGTAAAACATACGCAACTCATTCGTGGTGTCTCTAAGTGACAAACCGAAATTGCAATTTTTGTAGTTGTATAAACTTTTTCGCCCCCATCTCACAAAAGCGACAGCTTGCTTTGGCGTGACATTTTGTGATTTTTTCTTACACTTTTCCTTCGCACTTGTTGCTCCCTTACTTTATAGCTGCATCGCATGTAAAATAACAAAACAAGAAATTAAAAAAAAAAAAAAAAAATCATGCACTACCAGTGTTTATTATACAAGGGTGTCGTTGCTGTAGCACTCATTGTCTAGGCACCTTTTATTGCCCAACAACATATACCTATACATATCTACCGCCGCATACGCATTCGGCTGCCCTTTTCACCTCCAACAGTGAGCCACCACAAATTTTCCATCTTTATTTTCTTTGGTTGAACGTGCCATGCCTTCTTTGTCATATTCTTCCTTTCCGCTTGTTAAGTGTCTCGCTTTTGTGCTGTGTACGCTCTGTGCGGCGCCGCCACACGTAAATTACCCTGAAGTGCACTCAAGCGCCACCAAGTGCAACTCAAGTTCTACAACTTATAAGATTTGCTTTAAAAGTCTCTTCAATTTTTAATTCAATACGAGAATTTGCATTGTGTCAAAAGATACGAAGGAATACATGGGTTGAGGTGAGTTAGCTGAGTGAGTGAGTGAGTGCAGCGGAGTAGAGTGGCTTTTAGTGTGGGTAAGCTGCTTGGATGGCAAAACAAAGCGGCTGAAGATGTTGACGGAAATCGAATTTATGCATCAGCTTTTGATGACTAGCATTTTATGTGGTACTTATTTTGTTGGCTTTGACTGACATTTTCAAATGCAAGCATGGCAAGAGATTTGGGTTAAAGTCACTTAAGTGTCATCTAAGATAGAAATATTAAATAATTAATTTTTTGCTGAGAAGTAAAGGTCATCCATCCTGTGAAGGTGGTGAGCATGAAGAGAGGAAATGTAAGTTTTTATAGTACACACACATATCTATCTTCTTATATATGTAAGTGTTTTATGTAAGTTTGAAAATAGTTTGCCATTAGATGACCG